CATTTATGCATGTAATATTAATAATTAAACTAAGAGAGTATTTTTAATATGACTGCTACATTTTTCTCGACAATAACAACATTCGCTTCAATTTTTTTACAAACATTTCCCTACGGTAAGAAAGAAATTATTTCGCTCATAGGCAGCAAGGAAAATGTCATAACCTTTGTTATGTCACTTTGAACTTTTTTAATAATAAATAGAAAATACTTTACAGCATTATAAAATAAAAATAATCCAATATTTATCTCTAAAAATGAATCAGTGGAATTTATCACTGTTCAAATTAGTCCTATTATTATCACTACAAATAATAAATATTCACTAATTCATTTCTAGAGAGTAGAATATTTAGAAGTGTCTAATTTTCTTTTTTATAAGGAATCATTGAAAATTAATGCTGATTGTAAAAATGATATGTAACCTTCAAATCTCACTTACAGTTCAAATGATCTCCCTTTCAGTACATATTGGTATCACACACTTCTATAACTTCATATGTTTATAGACATCTAAGTTTTAGTTCTGCACGAGAATGTCTACGACTGACGGAGATATGTATTCTCCTCTTTTATTAAAAATGTTCTTTTGGTGTAAATAGTTTCAATACAAGGCTTGAAACTTATTTAAAAAGGTTTCAATGTTTTTAAAAAAATCTATCAATAATTTTCCTGATTTATAATATAGTACAACTTTTTCTGAATATTGAAAATGAGAAACTTTATTAAAGAAATTGAATTTTTACAAAAAAGTGTGTCATTGAGTGTATATTTATTAAATTACTAACAGAAAATAATATCATCATTAATTAGAGCATTTATTTTATTATAAACTTCACGATAACATAAAAAAAAAATTCTATGTGTTCAGTGTCTTTTTTTTTCAACTTTCCCTGTATGAGAAAAAATGAGACTAGTTTTCGCTGTATAAACAGTAAAGAGAAAATATGAGTACACGTACTGAAGTTTATTTGATTATCAGAACATTTATGAGTACCAGACAATTTTATTAGTTGAGAAATTACACTTTCATTATCATAAATAGAAAAACAAATAAAATGAATTAACTTTTAATTACTCGGTAACGATTGGAATACAAAATTATTGTTTTACTTACGTATGTTTCATGAACTTAATCCATTATTCACATGCAATTAATCTTCGAATCAGCTTCATTAATCTTCTCTATACTATTTAAACTCAGTGTGATCATCATAGTATGGCAGAGAAAAATTTTTTAAAAAATCTGTACCACAACGTACAGCAATTTAAATAATAATTAAACTTTCATCTTATAGTAGAATAATTCTATGCGAAGCTGATGCACACTGAGTGTAGATACATACATGATGATATCGAGTCCATCTGCGCAAACACAACGTGTTAATCGAAACGTATCGATGCAGATCTCAATTGCTTGTCTCAGTTGGAGGTCGAAAAATCATGATACGACAGATGCAGACATCCCTTAATGTTCTTTCATTCCTCTTGTCATGTCTATGGTGCTGAGTGCTGATAGGAAAATCTCAAAAAATTTAATTACTAAAAAGTTAAGCATTGAATATTTTTATGGCGGCGTAAAACAAGAGAATGTCGTTATCATGTTGGTAATTATCTGTCATTTGAGGGGCTTCTTCATATCGATTTGATAGATCGGCTCGTCGAAAGCTTTCAGTTGGAATACATGCAAGTATTTAAATTAAATTAATTTTAATTACAACGTAGATTATAAAGTAATTAATCATATGTTTTATAAAATTTTTAAATAAATAAAATAAAATCTATTGAACATTTGTTTATCTTTAAAAATATTTTCGAAGATTTCTTTGACAATGATATGCAAATTTAATGATTACTCATATCAATGATTTTTCTGTTTCTCGTATTTCATTGATTCTTTAACAAAACTATTATATTGAGAATATTTTCTAACGCTAATTTGTTTTGTGGCCATAAACAATAAAATAGAAAATAAAACGTGAATGAATAACAAATTAAATAGCTTTCTTTCGTTCTTTCTTTCATTGTCAATTCAATAGCCATTATAGTGTTGCGTTGCAATTACTTCATGATTGTTACGACGAATCGTTAGAAAGTATAAAAATGTTTATTATTATTATTATTATTATTATTATTATTATTATTATTATTATTATTATTATTATTATTATTATTATTAAACTCAACAAATTGTTTTTTTTTTCTAATTATTTCTTCTCGTCTCATAAAATTTATTGGCATTAAAAATCGCAATAGTTTTTTTTGTTTAAATCAAATAAATTTATTGCTATATTTATTTAAAGAAATACATGATTATTTAAATTAAACATTTTTCGGAAAGTTGGAAAAGTTAGTACGTACTCAGACAATTACTTAGCAAATAATCATAGTTCTCAAGGAAGTTCGTAGACTTCGTGAGACTGTGACTCGTTAATTAAAATTAAAATCCGCGCGAAAATGTTGGAACAAGTTGTACAGAATATAACATATATATTGAGGATATGTGTGTATTTGTGAATTTTAAATATCCATTGTAGTCTGATTGATAATGAGCTTTGTCGCTTTCATTTTCTAAAACACGTCGAGATCAATATTAATTACTAAGTACCTATAAATGACAATTCAACCTGCTATTATGCTACCAATTAAAATATACTCTCATGTAATTATTATCTACATCGCTTTTTAATTGTTTTATCAGGCAATTAATGTTTATTTTTTTTCTATCGAATGTATACATTCTTAACTTTACATAGTTTTCTCTTTGCCAGATAACTTGCATTGCACATGAATTAATCTAAGGCAATTAGAATAAAACGATGTTTTTATTTAGTTACAATAAATACTTGGCAGTAAATAGTAACAATGTCTTGTAATGATGTCTTGGAATTTTAAGAATGATAAAAAATACTTTATTTGAATATATTGTGACGTTGGAATTCTTTAATAGAGTCTTTAAAATGTTAAATTTCTCAGAGAAAAAGTCATTTTTAGATTGACAGAATAGATATTTACCAATATAATTTAAAACTTTCTTTATTTACATATTTTTTATTGTTTTTTATAACGATTTTTGTAAAAAAGAAAGTTCATTTATATTTTTACCAGAAAAAATTTTTTATCAAACAATACTTAAAATGACCATGTTGCGTGAAATCATCAACTACTTATTTTAAATATTGAATAATACTATAAATGTAATTTTTATAATAAATTCGTCTATTTCCAGACATCTACTTTATTTCAATTATTAAATATATTTTTCAATGTTACATAAACATGTAGTGATAGAGGGCAAATATTAATATTATTAATTAATTTAATTGATATATTTTCAATTTTTATCGCAGGATTTTTAAAGAAAAATGGGTTTTTCTGTTAAATAAGATTATTATTACAATGAAATGTTTTTAACACAATGGTTTACTTAATTATCATCAAGTATACTAGAAATGAATGATTAACAAATGAAATGTTTTCCTACCGAATTTCCCATAAAACCAATTTTATATCATTACCTAGAAACAATAACTTAACGAAAAAAAAAACTAGAAAACTTAGAGAATCTGTGGATGGTAATTTGTCGAAATTAGTTACGTGTACGATCGTTATCTCTCACTAATGAATTAAAGGGCAGTATGAAATTGGTGAAAGAAGAGGAATCTGTGGAGTAAACAAAAAATGAAAGAGGAAGAGAATGGCAACTTTCGAATGGTGCGGAAATTGCTAAGAGACATCAAGCGGCATTACAAGAAAGAGATCTTGCATCGAGAGGCTATTTTACTTGACATTAAGACAAGTGTATGTCTCCCCTTAAGCATCACCTTATCTGGGTCACAATGTATTAATACGAAAGTCGCGCTTCTTGCTTAAGGCATGATTAAATGTTCGATTGACCGGGAGAAAGACTTTCCTGGCCTCGGGGATTTTGCCCAGACAAGACTGGCGATATGATCGGTATCCGTTGCGGCTTTTACGACCTTTTAATTCAAGAATGATCGACAGTGGAAAGTGCTTGTGTGTATGATAGATCGATGACCGAGCAAATTTCTTTTAAATTACTACTTTATTATTTTTATTTTTGACTTCAGATCGTCTTATCGTATTAATCCGTGTCTATAGGTATTTTGATGACTTTTTGTTGTTATTTGTTAATTATTGTATTTTGATTCCATCTATCTTTTCTAACGGTTCTCCCACTGTATTGCAACGATCAAAAAACTTGAAACCTGCTTGTTATGTGGTCATCGTAAAAAAAAAACAAATAGAAAATAATTTTTTTTTGGGTTAATTAACCGGATATTAGATGATGTATTAATTGTCATTATTACGAAACGATCATAATTAATTTTATTTTCACTATTAATGATAGACATTAGAAAATATAAAACCATCTGGAATATAAGAATTTGCCTGGAACAAGATTTTTTAACTATTTAATTAAAAAAAAAAAATAAAAATGATTCAATATTTGATGAAATATTTTCGTATTTTTAGAACAAAATTGTTTGAAAAATGTAGTAATTGTTGTTATATAAATGTAATTATTACGTTATTTGTAATTTTTCTTCAAATTCTCTCACGTTACTCAAAAAAATCTTAAATTCAACTTTAATAAAAATATTCTCCACAACTACTGGGAATTTATTTGAAGATTTTTTTTACATTGAAGATGAATGACTTTTACTTTAAGGACATGTTATGTTCAATTTTAGTGTAATATATAGAATAACGAAGTCATTAGCAACATTGGATTTATTTTTTTACCAAAAATTTTGAAAGTTTATGAATAATTCATCTACTTCACTCTACTATTGCAAAGAATAATTATCTTTACCGTTTAACATCATTTTTTCGGAAATTCCATTGATAATTGGAGTAATTTAAATACCTGTTTTTATAATATTTGAAAAAATTTTTCTTTTAATTTATGAATGATCATAAGAGATTTAATTAACCTACTAACATTCTATTATATGTACATCTATAACATGAGATATATACTTTACAGATTTATCATTCATCATCAAAGTGGCGGATATTGCGTAGGAATAACTACCAGGCATGAAAAAAAATCGGTGAGTAATATATACAAAACACAAAAACATTTTACTTTTTTTTCTTCAATCTCAGAGAGTACATACACATAGGTTCTATTATTTCCGCATGATTGATTCTTATGGTATTTTTTTGCTCAATTTTGTACGTGGAATCCAATTAAAGTTACTTGGCTATTCGCATCATTATAAATTCAAGTCTCGACATGCTTTAAAGCAAGGACATCATGTTTTTAAAAAAAAAATCAAGTTTAAGTGTATTGTTATATTTATTGTTTCAAATAGTTTATTCTTTTGGGGAATATTCAAGGAAATTTTAATTCTCGAATTCTTTTTTAGATAGATTTTTTTTTCTTTTTAATTCTTAAAATCTGACTAAATATCGAAAACAATCTATTCAACAAATAATTAAAAATAAATTCTTAGAAAAGAATATTCGTAGAATAATAAAATAAATTATTACAATGATTTTTATTATCAAGACAGATTGAATTGATGTTGATTTTAAATACAAGATAATTTGATTAGAATAATTCTAAAACTTTAATTATTGACACACCTCATTATTTTTATCTGATGAAAAATGAAGATAAACGAGGTATGAAAACAATTTTTCATTAAACCGCGAGAAATTTAAATACTGATCATCATCAACTCTATTCTTCATCTGCAAAAAAAGTGCTCATTAATTTTTTATCTAAAGAGAAAGATGAAAAAGATATTGGGTACGACAGTCTAATACTTCTTCTCGCGATTAGAGAGAGAGTGTAACGGCGCTCACAGCCCGGTTTCTTTAAAGATATAAACACGCGACTTGGCGTGTCGCGCTGCTTCGAATTCGAGATCTCTAACGAGAACCGATGGGGTTCGGGTTAAATATCAGAAGAGGTTAATTGCACCTTTAACTACCCTTGACTTACAACGTTAATCCGATTTGTAATTTTTTTCTTTTCGTTCTATCCTTTCTATCGTATCCTTTAATTTATTTGTTGTTTATTTATTTATAAGTATAATTAAAGAGATAAGTATTTCCGCCAATAAATCTCCCGGTGAATTAGATCTCTTTATCTTAAGTATTTTTGTCTACCTTGAAATACCAGAGGAATACTCTAGAAGATTCACTGCGATCGCGGGAGAACGCGAGACTGATTCGCAAGCCTTGGGGTCCTGAACAGCTGTGCGATAGGTACACCTGAGAGTGCTCTTGCGCTCTCTTAGAACACAGCCGCATACACTCTAAGGTAATTTAATTTATGACCTAGGTAGCCGTCATCAGCGCGTGCCCAGTCAAGAAGAAACACTAGTCAAGTGTTACAGTCGCATGGTTATTTCCAAATTGATTAATTGAATTTGTGTTTATTTCATTTTTTTTCCTCCTTCCTCCTTTTATTCTTCTTCGTCGTCTTCTTTGGCTTCTTATTTTCCTTTTTTTTTGCTGCACTGAAGAGAGAGAAAAATTATTTTTCAAGGAAAATACATTTTTTTCCGAATAAAGATTCAAATATCATCAATCGAAAAACTCGTTTGCTCGAGACGGTGTTTCCTCTGATTTTTAAAATTATATAAATAATTTTTTAAACATGTTTACGACATGATGAGTTTCTTGTCTTAATTAATGAATACATTATGAGAATAATTTATGAGTATTTTATTCATAATTTTCATTGCCTAATCGAATATTGCTGAAGCAAAAGTGAAAATCTTAGATAATTAAGTACGTATATATATAATATCTTTATATACTGCGGTATAAACACAGAGTTTGATGATAACGAACGATATAATGAAGCGATGAGCGACAGGATGGAAGTGGAAATTGTGTAAAAGAAAGAAAGCAATAGAAAAGATTACAATCTGTGAGGGAATCCACAATAATCGGGAGACATAATCACTGGTCAAGCATACGAAAGACCTGCGTGTGCGCTTGCCGGTTACTGCACTGGGTTAAAGCACAGACTCTTGTTTTATCTGCAGCTTCCCACCTTTCTGAGAATTCATCATTTTTTTTTTCAACGTCAATTACATGTAAACGGCAAATATCCGGCGCGCGGGAAATAGTGGCAGCGAGATATCTCTCTTTCTCCTCCACTCTCTATTATAAGACTCTTTATCTTTATTTCAACCTTCCTCTTTTCTCATCGTTGATTTTAACGATCATCGTCATTTTATTGCATTCTTCAGTTATATTTTTATATACTAATAATACAACTGAAATATGCTGCATATTTTTTTCAAGAAGATACTATTACTACTTCCATTGAGGTTTGCGGTAGAATGCTTTCTAAAATTGAGCAAGTTTAGATCGGTTATTTTTTGGCAGGATGTTGAAAAAAATTGAAGGTATTTTTTTTCTTTCATGTTGAGATTAAATTGGTTAGTCTAAATAGATTTTGCAATTTTCGGACATTAAATTTAATTGAATGAATCTTTTAAGATTAGAAAAAATACATTATTTTTATTCAGTTCATTGAGCATTTTTTATTCTAAATTGAAATATTCATTTGTTGCATTCTTAATTTTAATAAAAATATTGGAATATTACTGGACTGATTATTTCATGAGACAGTACAGTTACTTTCATTCAGTGTGATTAAAAACTCGTTTATCAGAATTCTTACTAAAGTGTCACGTTGTCCTGGATATTATTAAATTTTCTGGCATAATTTTTACATCACTCTTTTTGTATGATAGACGCACTAAAAGATTTTGTAATTTAAAAAAAAATCATTAACACTTGAGAAACTTCTCATTTAAATATGATGAAATTCATTCACAAAAAGTAACCCATATAAGATATTTTTTGTATTAATTTGCTCTTAGTCAATATTCATTGAATCAAATTTTCAGGTAGCATTCATCAATCATTTTCTTTCACTTAAAACTAAAAAATATCAGGAACATAACAATTGTTTAACTTTATGTAAATTAATTATTCATACAAAAATATCATATTTCAACAATGCAGTTTAATATGTCATTTATAAACATTTTTTGTTATGACTGGTGAAGAAAAATAGCTGAAAATAATTTTCTAAGCTTAATGTTCTATGTAACGACCATTTACTGTGTTCCAGTCATTCATATTCCCTCAATAAAAAAATACTTTTTGTCAGACTGTTATCATACCGAGAAATGTTTTGGTCTTTTGAAGCTTTCTAATGTTGGAATCAAAGACTATTCACAACACGTAAAAGAATGTCATGCAGATGATGATGATGTATGATAATTTCTATGCATTCACATATGTACATCTATAGAAATTTCAATAATACAACTCTCTTTAAAATTTTCCCATGATGATGGAAAAACTGAGATAACTGACGACTTCCTCGATACATTTCAAACTATCCGGTGGAAAGTGACGAGCTAGTGAAAGTTAACTTATGCAAATTTAATGAGTGAGATACTAGTTATTATCATTACAATACGTGGGCGTAGATATACGTCTATATTCTTCGTTAGATCTTCAAGTGTCTTTATATTTACTTGATAATTCACTTTTCTTCATTATTTTCCTCTGACATAATTTTTTTTCTTCATTTAACCAATAATTAAAACCCTCTTATTGTTTACTTTGATTTTTAATGATAATTATTTTTTAAAATCTTTTTTCATCATCACTGATATTCTAATGAATTTTACTATCATTTAGAATCACTTTCTCTAATGAATGAATTATTTTCTAGGATTTCTTTTCCTTCATTTTGAAAGAATCTCTAATTTAGTAAGATGAGATGCAGAAATGAGTAGTAAGTTATAAGTAATAATTATGGTGGAAAATTTAATACCAATTAAAAATTGCATCATGAGATGACAATAAAAATTTAAATGACTTCTGAGATTGTAAATTTTTCAAATAAAAGAACTCACTAACTAGATCATTATTATGTTATTACAAACAGTAAAAATTTTATTTGAAATAAAATAATGAACACATTTGCGCTTCTATAGCATCATAACTTGTAGTAATAACAATGAAAATACATGTTATTGTCATTATTACTATTATTGAAGTTATCTTGCATGGAATTATCGACGTTACAGTCTAAATGGTCGATAATACCAAACAAATTTACATGACACATTTATATTTTGCGTGGGTTTTATTTTTCTGAAGTCAACGGTTTTTTTTAATTTAAATCTCTACCGACAATTACATAAAAAAAAATTCATATCTCAACATCTTTGCATTACCTTCTCCAGCCAACAGTTTAAATCACTTTTATTTTCTAATAAACATCATATAATTGAGGAAAAACAATACAAATTTTCTCATTATGTATTTTTCCTTAGACATTAAAACCGAAATTTTATTCTACATTCTCTCAAAAAATCCCCACGATTATTTACCATTACCATCATATCCCAAGCATCATTATCATTGCGGTTTAATTTGCACTTTCTATTATATGCGAGTATATAGTAAATGATTTGAATAGTTTGAGTATAGAATAAGAAGAATAGAAGGAACAAAGGAAATTGTCTTGGGCGAGAAGACAAGATCATCGACACCCAGTTTACCTGGTTGAAAGCCGATCGGTTTAAAGATCGCACGGTCCCGGTATGCCGAGCATTTAGCTGAGACGTAGGAGAGAGTACGCGGGACAATCAAACCCAAGAAGACGACTGGTCGTTGGCGGGAGCGATGGCAGGAATTTGCGTTTCAGCGCGTGAGAATCTTGCGAGATATTTTTCCACGGGGGCCTTTCAACACCATCACGAGTTGCAGGCGTACGGAAATCGCATGGAAAGCCAACAACAAGAGCCACTCTTCTGGCTCTACGGCTCAAGTATGCCATGACGTTGATTGCTCGCCAGCAACAATTTCAGGAGACAATTTCCCTCTCTTGTCGTCTCTTGTTTTCTTACCTCCTACTCCTCCACCATCACCACCACCTTCTCTATCTCATCCTTTCATCCACCTCATGGTGATGCTTACTCGTCTATCCCATCGTCCATTAATCTATCCATCTTCTTGGCTCTCTTCCATCAGCTGCAAAGAGAGACAGTGGTAAGACGAA